AAAAAAAAACAAATTTAGACAGCTAATAAACAAGAAAAGAGCAACAAAAAAAAAAACAAGAACAAACTTCAATAAATCCGTACTAAATTAGAGCATTTTTATTAAGTAAATTGTAGGCAGCCTATAAAGCCAAAAGAAAACAACAGAAACTGTTTTTCTATATACACAACGATAGTTTTTTTTTTAAAAATATCAACGAAACATTTTTTACATCCAACGATTTTGCTGGCATTACTGTGCCTTACGATGATCGCCAAATGCATTCAGGAGTCTGAAAAAAAAAAAAAAAATGACACCATATTATTGCCGTAAAACAGTAAATTATACTTTGATTGTTTACAATGTCTTTTTAGTTACAAAAAAAAAAGAAACTTGTTCACTAATTGATCTCTGTTTTAAAAGGCCGAAAAAAAAACTGACTTTCTGCTCACTACGCTTGCTTTTTTTTCCCTATTAAAACTGTCAAACGAAGAAAAAAACAGACTTTTGAATAATTACCAAAAAAAAAAATCGTTGCAGAGTAGTCAACCGATGATTTACATTTGAACTATACAAATACTATTTTAATCTAAGCGCCTAACGATCAGCTTGATGATCGACAACCATTAATGTTTACGGCAACATTTCGCTGTTTCAATAATAGTTTAGAAAATAAATTCAAACAGATGAAAAACTGACAGCTATTCCATTGAGATCGGGCGGTAATTGCATATCATTGTAAGGTAAATAGATGTGCGATAGCGATACTCCTTGCTTCATTGAAAATATTGAAAACCAGAAAACATCTTTAATATCGTGTGCACCGGGTAACCGTAATGTTACGGTCTGATTATCATAGTGTGGCAACGAATCACAGTCAAACGTATTTGCCTGTCTAAAAAAAAAAGAAAATCAACTTTTATTTTCGCTTGACAAACAGCAAAAAAAATTTTATAGCTATTAATGCTTTTTCTCACATACTGTCTAAACTTTAAGTGACAACAAAAACAACAGTAATGACGATATTTAAGACAATTCAAAGGCGTACCAGCAGTAGATGCCTTTCAGTTTTTAGCAACCAAAACTACCACTTTATGCCTTGTACTATCTCTTATCGACAACTTAGCAAAATGACAACAGACAGATAGACAAAACACTAAGCAGGTACTGAATAAAAATTAAGAATTGTCTAAATAAACAGCATACTTTTTCTTACCTGTTATATATTGGAACGATATTGCCGCTTTCGTTTGGCAAAATATCTTTACCAATCATAAACCAGGCGGCTACACCATCACAGCGGAACGTCAGATCACTGATCTCAATGGTTTTTATATCCAAAACCTAAATCAAAGACTGTTTGCTGTCTTTTGAAGTGAATTTTATTTTCTTTACCTTCTCAAGCCCAATTTCTATTTCATCTTTAGTACTCATAACCGATATAAACTTAAAGCAACAAAAGCGTAATACTTAAATAACAACAGAAGAAGGAAAAGAAAGTTTGCTCCATATTTCTTAAGAAATCTTTTTATTGTTCATCACTTTTATTGATAAGCAGCAAATCATAAGTCTATTTTTACTGGTTCTTTGCTACTATTCAAAAACTATTTAGCGCTTATAAGTACCAATTCATAAACTCTAAAAGGAGAAAAAAGAAAAAAAGAAAGATTTTTTTCCATTTTTTTCTTTTCTCTTTAACCTAAAACTTTGAAAATCAAAAAAAAAATGTTTTTTCTTTTATCAAAAATTCCTCTTTGTGATTATGCAAATAAACACTGAAGAAAGAGGAGAAAAAAAGACGGGAATAATGAGTCTTCCAAGAAAAATTGGCAACTAAAGTACATCGCAATGATAACGTTCTTATTTTTGAGTTTTTTTTCTTCCCTTTCACTTGGACATTGAAAATACAAATGGATGAGCCATTCAAACGAATTGGCAACAAAAAAAAATTCATACGCATCATTTTCTGTTTCTTGAATTTCTTATAAAACTATTTAAATTTTCAAAAAATTAGATGAAAAAAAAACCCACAACAAAACAACAACAAAAAAAGGGTTTATTGTACTAAAAATGAATGCAACAAAAACCTTAATTGGTCCTGATGTTACTGTGCAAACACCGTTAGAGCTCAGTGGTCTTAGTAGAACAACTGCTGGTATTTTAAATGCTGGACCATTTGGAATCAAAACAGATGCAACTGTGCGCTAAAAAAAAATGAGAAGATAAATTATAAGTAGTGCAGAAAAGGAAACTTTTTTATATTAATTAGAAAGACAGAAATTTATGGCATGCAAAAATTGACCAAAAAACCGTGTACATTTGGCAACACAAAGAAAAAAAAAAGAACTAAGGAACAAGTCTAATAGAAAATAAAACAGTGATAAACTGGTCAACATAAATTACCAACCTGACGTTTATGATCTCTGATTGCTAACCAATAGACACTTTTTAACCACTTAGTTTCTGGTAGTGTCAACAGTAACGGTTGAAATCCGGCATACCATCCAAGTGGTGTTATGGTATCTGATTTTTCTGCTTTAACAGCTGAATCTTCTGCTGATGGTGAATACAACTGCATCGATGGTACTGCTGTAACTTCTGTTGCTGGAATGCTGACTGTTGCAGTGACTGATGTATCCGCATCTGTTGGTACAGTTGCTGGTTTTGTGGATTCTGTTATCGTCTGTGTTGTTTTGCTTTCAGTTGCTATCGTTGTTGGTGAATCATGGTGTTTTGTTGTTGTTGCTGCTGTTACTGCGGTTTCCGTTGATGTTGTGCCAATAGCAGTATTATTCGTAGTAGTAGCAGCAGTTCCAGTTGTTGATGGTATATTATTTGAAGTAGTGTCCTGTGAGAATTCAGTTTTGTTGTCCAAAATGTCATTCCTTAAAAAAATAAAGACGCTGTTCAAAAAATTTCATATTCAGAGTACAACATTCATAACATTACTATATATATACATATATAACTGCTTTAAATCTTTTGACTGGGCAGAACAGTTTTTTGCAAATCAAAGAATATTTGAAGCAAAAGAAGAAAAAAATAGACAGAAAGCGATAAAAACAAATAACTGCTTGAAAAAATGTTAAGCTT